ATAACGCGATGGCGACAGTACGATACCGCGATTGCGAAAACGCGATATTACTGTCGACTCGCACAATCGTATTGTCGCCATCGTATTATCACACTATCGCCATCGCACCATATCGCATTGTCGTCAACGCACTGTCGTCATCTTACTATCGCATTGTCGCCCTCTGGGTTATAATTAAAGTATAACCACGATGGCCCTAACGGTATTCCGTAGAATAATTAATGCATCCAATAACTATTTCCCCGGCAACATCTTTCAGAAATATACATCTCTTACATAAGTCGTGCTGACACTATAATTAATCTGGATAAATTCGGAACAAATTATCTGCAACTAAAATGCAATCCCAAACACTCTTACCAACTAGTCTGTGAATACATCATGGAAATAATAAAAAATCATATATGATTAAAACTTTTATGCATAAATTACAATTCATTTCAATAGTTGTCTGCCACTCAGGTTAAAATATTTATTTAGATCTAAATAAAATAAGCTGCAAAAGTCTCTTCTATGTGGTTGAAATGCGGTAATACTATTGTAAATTCAGATTTAATGCGGTAATACAATTGTAAATTCAGATTTAATGCGGTAATACTATTGTAAATTCAGATTTAATGCTGTAATACTATTGTAAATTCAGATTTAATGCGGTAATACTATTGTAAATTCAGATTTAAGTAGTATCAAACATATCTGCATCCGTCGAATTTCGTTTCAAACGGTGGGGGAAATAATATCACGTGTACCGAAAAATTTGAGTCGGTGGCCCCCTATTGTTTTAGTCATTAAGACTGCGTATTTTAAAGGACGTTTAAAGAAAAAAAAAGAAAAAAATATTTCAGGACTTTTTTTAATAAGTAGCTATAAAGCCGAAAATGCGGCTAAACTGAACGTCAAATTTTACACAAAATTGACAATTTTCTTTCCATTTTTCAAACATTTTTCGGCGTAAAACGATAAATTTTATATTAGCTTAAAGGAAAAAATAATTTCCGTCGAATGCTGTAGAATCTAGGATAGTTTGTCCGCCTATGGCGTTGTCATACAGTTGCCAAAGATGTCATGTTCAAAAACGAGCTTTGATGGTCAACTTTGACGTCGTGTATTAAAAACATTGGCTAAAACTATTGGAATAAATTCAACGGAATCTAATCAGAAATATGGTCATTTTTAACATGCCAATTTTCAAGACGCTACTCGAAAGTTCGCAGTTTTGCGTTCTACTATTTACATGTAAATTTACATACTAAGTATTCCTTTTAAACTCTTCATTTATTTTCCTTAAAGCCACATTAAGCTGTTAAACAGACAAACATGTTTTTATACGTAAACGCAGTAATTAATTTGGATTTAAAACCTTTTTAATGCTTATTACTTTAAGTAATTAGCGTCAACTGTGAAATAATTTCTTGAAGCTTTTAAAAATAACGATAATATTACCATTTTTAGACTTTTATGGACCTGTTGATTTGTTTCACTTTCATGAAAGTGAGTAGGTTTAATGGATCTATTGCTATCGTGTTACATTTCATTGGCAAATTCATGAGCATACACTTATTTATTTAAGAAGAATTATTGTTCATCAACAATTATTTTTTGCAGCATCAGGCCAAGCTGGATGAAAAGGGCTGCGCAAGGTTTCCATGACAACGAAATGGACCAATATCCATTACAAACGGTCATCATAAGATGGCAACTCAGACGGAAGTTACCGAAATATAATCCGGAAACGTTGAAGCGCATTTTGGAGCCTTACGGCGGTGTAAGAGATATCCGAATATTGCGCCCTAATAGCTGTCTAGTGATTTTGAAGGATATTTTGACAGCATGTCGTGTAATGCATTCTCATTCCCTTGGACATCCTTTAAATAAACTAATCTGTTCGTGGTGGCACAAGTCAATGGCAAACAAGTGTATTGCGACAAGTGCACGTGGAGTATCCATTAAGACAAATGTTTTTGTAGTATAGCCTTTATTTCCTGTTCAATATGTCAAGTTATTATTCATTAAAACATTAGTTTTGGAATAATTGTTCTTGTCTCCTAGCTAGAAAGGCGGAAAAATCAATGTCTTCAAAGCTCCTAGGATATTAATTGTCTGTAGCTCTAAATCGGACACGCCCATGCTTAAATTGAGTAAGCTTTTTTTCTAAAGCTTATTAACTAACAATAATTAACAGGTCAATGATAAGTACGAGTTCGAGTGTCTTCTAGAGTGCAGCGATATCGGAAAATACACACATATGAGGATATTAAAAAAATAAATATTGTGTTAGAGGAGAAAACTTACATAGTGAGATCCATGAGTTTGTTCATTAGATGTTTGAACTATAATATTGTACCGAATCTGGTGATGGCCGATGCCTTGGTTAATACTTTTTTCTACTCTATTTTAAGCTCTTTTTGGTCCCTTAAGGCGGTCAATTCATTATCGGTATAGTATGAGCGAAATGCTACTGTACAACAAGCCTGAAGGGAAGTTGTGCCCGACTCTCGCATACAGTACATGTACTAAAAGTGAACAAGAGAGCTATGATAACCCTATTTTGCTCTCCTAAATGAACATTGCAACTTAAATTCATCTCCTGCTGAGACAAGTGGACCATATTGTCTGTACACTAAAATTACAAGATTTTCCAAAACCTTTGACCTAGTGTTTTTTATCAAAGGTGACTGACCTAGAAATCATCAACTAGGGAACTCTAACTGTATATGTTAATTTATATTTCATGTATGTCTTAAGAATGTTGTATTTGGAACATTAATTTCTAGTGTAAAGATAATACATATTAAAGTGGCCTTCAGCTTTTATTTTCTGTTGGAAAAACAATTCCTTGTTTCAAAACTAAGTATTTCGGTAACTTCATCATGAAAAAGTCCATCATACCACTGTAACGACTGTTAAGCCTTCTTCAAAACAGGGTCAGGAGAGCTACTTATAACGCGAAAGTGACATTTGTTTCTAAAAATAGAAGATCGGAAACGATTTGTCAGATTTACAAATTTGAATAGGGAGTGGACGCTTATTGTTTATGTATTTTATCATATTGGTTAATTTCATTTTCCATCTTAATTCTTTTGATTTGACAATTATATGAAACTTTTTCTCTAAATAATAACATAATAAATCTTTAGAAAAGGTGAAGGCTGCTTTAAAAGCAATTTTGGGATTTAATATACACATAAATTCTAAAAACAGGTTTTTTTCAAGAATTTTGGGAACATGACCCATACCCATGGAAAAGGGAAATTTTGGCGATGTTTTGCTAAAAATTGGGAAAAAAATAAATTACTGAAATTTTGAAGTGATTAAATAAATGCAAACATGACAGAACAAAACAATAAATTTAATGATTTACAATATGTACATCATCACATATACAAATATATACAATTTACAATATCCAATATGCATAACTGTCACATAACATATTTACATTTTTTACAAATTATTTAATGAGGATAAACTACATTAATTGTAAAAATGTTAGTTCTAAAGATATGCATTTTTTTGATATTCAAAGCTAAATTTTTCAAAAGCAACTCGTTTGTTGAATTTATAGAGATCGGCCATAAAAATAAGAAAAAAAATCTTTGAAAAATATACAATGCATTGTCTACATGTTCTCATAATTTCTCTGTTACAAATACCAACAAGAATGTTGTTAAACTCTAGATACTACGCTTTACATTTACATGTTACACATATAAAATATTGATATATAACATGTAAACAACAAGATATATGGAACTGCATACAATAGTTAAACATAGAATAAATTCCTATCTACTGGGCTTATAGTAAGAAACTGATTTAACGTGTGGGTTCTTTGTGCTCAGGATAGGCCGTAGGTTGTATTTACAGTAACAATGTTCTTCTAGATGTTTACAATGCATATTAATTAGATGAGATATGTCATGCCGGCGATTCTCTTCGCACCCGATCTGTTGAAACTTGTTCTACATTCAGTTGGCTAGACTCAATATAAACGCTCGCATTTGACTGTTTGATATCAGAGTCCAACTGTTCGCTTGAATACATGCAGCTACTGGTGTGTTTGCGAATACAGATGATAACATATCACTGAATGTGTCAGTTTATGCTTTTTGTTCACCAAAATCCGGGGGGTATACATTGGTATCAGAGATAGTTGGTGAGAGAACTGTTTGACAACACCACCAACAGCAGTCGGTACTTATCTCTGCAGAGCGATAATCTTCGACTTTAACGCGATGTTGACATATATTTTGAAGCACGTTGTATATTGTAAATTGGCTTTTTCAAACAAATCTGGTTTTCCGTCTCACAGAACGCCGCAGCAAACCCCTACCTAAATGTATGTGAAAAAGTGTACATAAGTTCACTGTAATATGTACTAGAAAACTCTGCTCACCATTCATGTTTTGAAATGAAGAGCAAATTTGTAACTGAACAGTAGAGATCCAATTCCGAACTGGGACACTATATTGTGTTGCTTTTGAGGCAGAGAGACATCCTTCACGATTCTGAAGGTTTCGAACGCTCATAGGTACAGCTACCTATATAGTATATTAAAGCATTCATGATCACTTAACTGAGGTTACCAAGATATATAATGTTCATAGTACGACAAGTATTCATACAGATCTTCCACGCTTCTGTGTCTTTCTTGAACCTCGCTACCATCTGTCTTCGCTTCTCAATCTCTGTGGTATATCTATGTGAAAGTCGTCATGAAGTGCGTAAAACATAAAGCTCTATCTTAGGCTCTTAGAAAAGAAGAACACTCTTGGCTTTCATTGCTAATTCACAACGCTCATCTTTCTTTGTATGTCGTGCCACGAGAATCTTTGGCTGCACACATGTGTCAGTTGTTTAATCATTCATTTCATACGTGTAGAAGGTTTCGTCACCAATATGGTCATAACATTTATGCACAAGGTATAGGCTCGTTTTGGAGCATTTAATTCATCCTCAGATGTGCATAATGAGGTAAGATGTCTTTATGTTAAACATGATTAATGTTTACAACGTTGATCTGAAAGGGATTTCACTTGGTATTCATCTGCAAGTGGTAACAACCAGTTGACATTTAACTCGCTAACAAGTCTTTGTGACGTTGGATAAATACATTGCAAAAACTCGTGAAATTCGTCGAATTTTTTGCCAGGCAATGGAACCTCATGTTGAAATTTTTCCGCAAATTGCGACCCGAACATACTTTCAAACACAGGCGAAACTAGCGCCAAAATGCTTTTAGAAGCAAACAGTTTTCTGCCTTCAACTAGAAAAGCGACGTCGTCTTTCCAGGTCTTCTTTGTGAAATCGAAAGTGTGCGATACAGTTCTCTCCGCTTCGTCCTCACTACTGGAAATATGGTCAGCCATTTACTATTTTCTTTATTTCAATTTTCTAATAATACATAATATCAAAGTATCCTTTTGTCGAGCTGTTTTAAGTCATTCTTTTCCTCTGATAAAAACTGGCCTAGATTTTTGTTAATTGGTTACAAATGGCGTGATTTCATCAAAGGGAGTAAACTCCGATCTGAGGCGAGTCATATCCGGTATTAAGTATAAATACATGTATATAATATGCCGTTTCGGGGCAAAAAGATATTAATATTTAGCTTCCAGCACAAACGAACTAAAACAAATTCGTATAAACTAAACTTACTTAATTAACAATTTCATGCCATTCCATGATATTATACAGATTTCATACAGGAATATTCATGAAAAAATTGTGTAAGGTCCACGCGTTTAATTCGAAATGAAAAGATCGAATTGTCAATCCAAGCTCTCCAGAAAATCAGATTCGTATTTAGGCAAAACATTTGGAACTCCTTTCCCTTTAAACATGAAGTAGCAAACATTCAAAATGGTGGTTCTCTGTTAGGAATCAAACGCTTCCAGATGTGTTGTAAATTAAATCACACATATGTTGCTGATAAAGTTTATGTCATGTTTAAAAACGTTAACTTTCAATATCCAATAACACCTTTTGTTTTTGTATTATGCTGTAAATATTTTGCAGTTTATAATATCATTGTAACTGTATATATATGTATATATACATTTTATAATAGGCGCATATGGAAGATTGGGCTTGAACCGTGTTACATATTTCAATAAAGTAGTCATTGTTACTATTATTGTTATTTGTTAATTATTATTATTATTATTATTATTATTATTATTATTATTATTATATCATCACTCGAATGAAAATAAGGGAAGACTTTTTGCAACGCGCACACGACACAAACAAATCCGAAGAAACTCTGAACGTCGCCAAACAAACTTGAAGCTGAGAATGGCAGTTAACATGGCAAATTATTTGGTCGTGCGGTAGGGTAGGGTGCTTGTAGGTACACTGAACGACGGCATTAGTAAAAGATCTTGTAAAACATCAGTACACGTAGTTTTGTACCTGTATACAGAGGATGGTCACGTTTTGAAGTATCTTTTCCATAGACACCGAGGTCACAATGGACAACTTAAATTTGTCCGACAATCTACGATCCCTCAAAAAGAACGAATACGAAAGTTACAAAAAGTACATAAATCGCAAACTTGATATCTTTTAATTTTAACTATTGCATATGTAGTGGCAAACATAATAAATTCATTTTCACTCGTCTTTAATGTTTGATTTTTGTGTGTGTGATGATAAATCGTTAAAAAAAATGTATGTAGTGTCTGCACATGTACGGGCAGTTGTTTTTTCCCTACCAACATTACAGGCATATAAAAATCTTTTACCGGGGTTGCAAGTGAGATAATTTTTAGAATATGAACATTTTATAAGCTTTCACGCAGTTTTTATGATTTCTTTAGTTACATGTCATTTAAAATAATTAACTCATGAAAATAGGTATTATTTGATATAATGTAAACTGGAAATCATTCTTTTTTGGCCGTCCGTCTGCTGCTTAATGTTTGGCCAACAAATGTCATAACTTTAAAGGATAATTTTGATAATTCAACATAATACCCCTAATATTTTAGGGTTAAATTGGTCAAATCTTAAATTGAAATTTTTACCCGGTCAGTATTTTTTTAATTTAACTAACATGGGATATTCCCTTTCCACCAGTGTGAAGTGTTGAATGAGTTACAACCGTTTCAACCATGCAAGCCATCCAAAATTATACATTTTATTCTGAAGTCAGTAGGTCAAAGTCATACTGACGGTAATATTAAATACATTCTTTGCACAATAGTCTGAACACACTATACCAATGATGCTCAACTTCATAGAATTTTTTAAAACCTTTAGTGTTTTTTTCGTGTTTTTTTGTTGTTTTTATTAATAGCACTAACCTTTCCAAGCTTATCGCAGGAAGGACATGCATGGCACAAAAAATAAAATATTGCTTTTATCTTTGAAGTAGGAAGGTCACTCTATTATCTATGTCTATAATAACCGGTTGCAGACAGAAGGTTTACCTTTATAATGACTATAATAACCGATTGCCTACGGAAGGATAACCTTTATAATGACTATAACTGGTTGCCTACGGGATAACCTTTATAATGACAAAAATAACATTTCATTTCATTTCATTTTATTGGCAAATCGGGAAATAAACATTACCTTTGGCCATTCACAGAGTATCATGACAAATATGGCCAAAAGTTAAATAGTTACAAACATTACATCATACAATATATAACAAAAAGAGTACAAGAATGAAACTAATTAAGAAGCAGTTACATCTTCAAGAGAATGTTGCCTCAACTTAAATGCATTATGAACATAGTGGGCACATTTAAGAATAAGCTTTTTGTTATTAGTGGACAATATAGTCGAAAATTTTTGTATAGTAGGCCATGAAATGTTTCCTAAATATTTGGTTCTTATAACAGTATAAATTGGACAACATAAAAGGAAATGGTATTCTGATTCAATAGAGTTATATATACATAGTTTACATTTGCGATCGTTTCTATCAATATTAAAAAATCTTCCAGTTTCTATTTCTAAGTTATGCGAGCCTAGTCTGAAACAAGCAAAGTCTTTTCTTAACACATTATTTGTTAAAACATCAAGATATTTTTCATAACAAAAAGAAGTTTTAAAGTTTCTGTAATAATCAAGCTTGGGCATATTTTGTATAGAAGTATTCCAGTTCTGTAAATATTGGTCTCGCAGACGCTGCTTTAACATTGGCATATAATTAAAATTTAAGTTAAAGTTAAGCCAAATATCACTACAACCTAAGCTGTCTAACAAGCGTTTTATACTGCTTGCCCAATTACAATCAACATTTCGATTACACTGGTCTACAAACATGTTGTACATTGGTGAGTCCTGGTTTTTCATAATTTTTAACCAGAATTTAAGAGTTCTTTCTTTAGAAATAACAGAAAGAGGAAATCTTCCTAACTCACCAAACACAGCAAACATTCGGTGTTTGCTGACGTACACCAAGTATATACTTGCAAAATTTAACATGAATTTTGTCTATTTCTTTACAATCATAAATACCCCAAAACCTCTGCATTATATAACAAAATTGGTAGCACCATAGAATCAAAAAAGTGACATTTTAGTTTTTATATCTAAATTTACTCTACTGAATAACCCTAACAAAACAATTGTATGCTTTCAAAGCTTGTTCAGACAGCGTAATAGCAGCAGTTTTCATATTACCAGTGTATGTAAAATTTACACCTAAATAGCAAAAATGGTCAACAACTTCAAGCATTTCACCATTTATAAACCATTGAAAATGATGTCTTTGTTTACGTTTTTCAAATATACATATTTTTTGATTTATTGACATTTATTTTTAAACCCCATTTCATGGAATAACTATAGACTGCATCTAACTGGGCTTGTAAGCTGTTCGGGTCAGTGGTAAAGAGCGCTATGTCATCAGCAAATAGCAACATATACATAGATAACTGGTTAAGATCATTGTCAGTAAGAGAGTTATAATCAATGTTGTCACATATATCATTTACAAAAAGGATAAATAAAATCGGCGAGAGTGGTTCCCCTTGTTTTAATCCAAGGGTAACGTCGAAAAAATCAGAGAGAGGCATCGAAGATGACAATTTTACACAAGAGGTAACAGATGCATATATCGACTGTAACATAGTTAACATTTTACAACTTATACCAAGTTTCAAAAGCTTTAACCATAACGCATCTCTAACAATAGTATCGAAAGCTTTCTCGTAGTCGATGAATGCGCAATATAGTTTCAATTTACAATTGACTATATTTTGAATAAAGAATGGAGTAAAAATACACAATCTGTTGTAGACCTATTGTCTCTAAAACCGAATTGAGAATCATTAAACATTTTTTGCTCTTTCACACCATATGTTTAATCTATTTCGAAGAATAAGTGAAAATATTTTAGCAAGTACATTGACAAGGGTGATTCCTCGATAATTGGAAGGATTAGAGATATCCCTTTTTTGTGTATCGGAACAATAATACCTTTAGACCAGGCACTTGGATAAATTCCAGTATCAAATATTTTGTTAAAAAATACAAACAAGGTATGGAGCTATAAAAGTGTTTGCATCAATAAAAAAATCTGCTACAATTTTACTATAATCAGCACTCTTGTGTCTCTGCATAGAACGTATTGTTTTAGAGACTTCCTCTACAGTAAATGCGCAATCTAATTTATCAATAAACTGCTGTTCGGTCTACTATTATGCTCATTTTTCCTGAGAATAATAAGGCTGCTGATTGCTGGAGATATTCTTAAAATGGTCTACAAAATCAGAAATATTAACATCAGATACATTTGTTGAACCCTTATTTCTAAATTTATTTATATACTTCCAAAATTTCCTTGGACTATGTTTACTCATGGAAGACAATTTCACCTTTTCCTTGTAATTAAAGTTACGTTTTGCTTTCTTTTTTACATTACAAAACATACGCCTACTATTCAAAAAAGTTAGCTCTATTTGCTTCAGAAGGATTATTATGGAAAATTCTTTTATTATTCAAGAAAGATGTTTTTGCCTGTTTACAACTATTGTCGAACCATGGCACTTTTTTTAATTGCTTATTTTAGGACTTTTTAGTGTGAAAAGTTTTTACCATTCATTTTAAAAGATATATCATATACAATATCTGCTAAAGTTATTTATACACATATCAATATCAATTTCACCCGAAGCTAATTTAACCGACAATTCAATCCAATAATAATTTTTTATCGTTCAACAAAGATTGAAATAAATCTGGATCAGTATCAGTCCACACAATTTTATCATAAGTTAATAAATCAGTGTGATAAAATATCATATGCTCACAATCTAATGAAAAAACAAGTGGGCAATGATCAGAAAATTCTGTCAATTCCAATATATTCATATTTGAAAAACTTGCAAATTTCTATAGTCAGTTATCA